GAAAGGGGTCCAGATGGGGGGCCAGAAAGGGGTCCAGATGAGGGGGTCCAGCTTTTGTACCCTCCTGTGTTGATCTGGCCCAATGCGATAATTTGGCAAAGTACATCGAGCAAAGCAACGATAAACTATACTCCCAGCTGTACAAGAGGAAGGCATGTTGAAAGAACTAGCACAAACCGATTTAAAAAGATAGATTGAAATTAATATCGGTCAAAGCCACTGCAAGCATGCATGGACAATTTGAGAGAGCACTGAAGAGGATCGAAGTGTGAACGTTTCACATTTGCAATTCGATAAAATCCTTATACACCCTACAAATGTTTCACAACCTTCCTGAATACATATCAATTAAAAAGTGCCCTTTTCCCTCTTGACGGAAAGGAGTCGTTGGATTTAGCTCTCTTCCCGATTATCATTCAATTGAAGAACCTATGGAAACGAGAGAAAACTTGTGCAGGCTATGTAGACACTGCACGTACTCTCGAAATACAACAAAGTAAAAAGACTTTCTCAGAGGCCCTGAATGGGCTAAGATATAAGATTTGCATATGTTTGGGTTAATGGGAGTGGTACGGTGGCCCAGAAGTGTCACAACACATTTCAAATTAAAAAACACCCCCCAAAGTCCACAACACATTTCCAAACTGGAAACACAATTCAATAATTGCTAAAAACACATTTCAATGTTCACAACACATTTGCAAACTTGAAACACAATTCGATAATTGTTCAAAACACATTTCAATATTTACAACACATTTGCCAAACTAGAAACACAATTCAATAATTGTTCAAAACACATTTCAATATTCACAACACATTTCACACTTGAAAACAAAACTATTGAAAACACATTCCAATATCACACAACAAAAATCGAAATCGAAGAAACATTTCAAAATACTGGCAACACATGGAAACATCGACGAACGCCGTTACTGGTCGGGAAGGTTCGGCTACGCATGCGCAGAACAACCATTGTAAAGCCTGCAAAAAAGCCTCCTAATCCGGCTCCTATTTACTCAATATAGGCTGTGGGCCGTTGTGCGACAAAGTGCTTAGAAAAGCAATTTCGTGGCAACCCCCTGGGAAATAGATTTTCTGTGGTTCAATGCATAGTACCATAGATGCTCAATGGACCATTTGCATTATAGACTAAATTTTGATCTAGAAAAAAATTTTATCACAGCTTGAAAGAGCATCACAAAAATATTGAAATCACAGAAATATTGCCGTAAAATGCGGATAATATAGCCATGCGAAGTTTGCCGTTTTTCAGTCATTTTGTATTACGCACGGGAAATTGACAGCCCAATCGGGTGTTGGGGCATCAATTTCCCATTTGTAATACAAAATGACTGAAAATTGCAAATTTCGCAAGGCTATATTATCCGCATTTTACAACATTTCGCAACGAAACTTTGGAATATTACTAATTTTGTGATGCTCTTTCAAGCTCTAGATCAAAATTTAGTCTATAATGCAAATGGCCCATTACCACAAAAAGTTCCCAAGCAAAAAACATGCCAAACACCGAGAAAATGGGTATTACAGCAAAAAAATGTGAAATTTTGTATTCAATTACAACAAAAATGACTTGCATCATCAGAAAGCATACAAAAAAACGAACATAAGACATTTAAACAGTTTTTTTATATCGCAAATTGTTTTTAAGTTATACGCTGTCAAAACGGGTTTTTGACCTAGTACCCAGTCCTTATTGCGACATTTTGGTCCAATTTTCACATTTAAAACAGCAATAACTCAAAGACTATTTGAAGAATCAAAAAACTGTATGAATGTCTTATATTCGGTTTTTTGTAGGCTTTCAGATGATGCAAGTCATTCTTGTTGTAATTGAATACAAAATTTCACATTTTCTTGCTGTAATACAATTTAATAGGGGATAATCACTGATGACCCATTTTCTCGGTGTTTGGCAAGTTTTTTGCTTGGGAACTTTTTGTGGTAGTCGAGTATCCATGGTACTATGCATTGAATCACAGAAAATCTATTCCCCAAGGGGTTGCAACGAAGTGAAATAATTTTGGCCAACGGCCCACGGCCTATACTAATCTCCGAAAATCATAATTGTTATAAATGCGGCAATCCATCGCCTGGTAACCTGAAGTTCAGGCCCTAATCACAGAATAGGGCCTGACACAAAACCTATCTATTGTGGGATTCCCGTCCATCTGGTGGATGGGAAATCTGATTGGTTGATCAGCATCATGAAGGATTTTCATTGGTTGCAAGTTTACATAAACAACAGTTTTAAAAATAGCTCGCTCAAGGCGACAATTAACATAAAGGTCAAACGCACGTACAAATTCTATTATCGATTTCTTCGAATTTCTTTTTCTTTTATGATTTATGGCAGAAAATAAATCAAACAAACAGTATTTTAAAAGGGCTTTATCAAAATCTTGGACGAATTTTGGACACACGACGCCGAAAGAACAGCCAAACTAAGTCATGTATTCGAAAGCTTGTTCACAGCCAAGATGTTCTGCCAACTGGCTTCGCCGGCAAAAGTCTTATTTTTAATATCAGGTCCTACCGGCGTTGTTTTCTGAGCTACATCGCCTTCTTCGTGGTACGATTGAGAATTTCATTGTTGCTGTTGTTAGCCCGTTTTAATAAAGTATATCCCTAATATCCGCGTCCAGCAAGTTGAGACCTTGAGAATGCTTGGCAGTCTAGCCGTGCACAGAACTGACTAATTAAATCTTTGTCTGAATCTTATTTATATAAAAGTACCTTGAATTTTTAAGTTTAATTATAAAGCAAATGCACACTCTGCGGACATGTTCATGAGAATATAATTTTTTTGTGTAACGAAATCTATAACACTTGTCAATCATATTGCATGTTGTGTCTAAAAATAACATGTGGGCGTCCCACGGTCTAGACAGGTTTTGTGTCAGGCCCTATTTCAAATTAGGGCCTGAACTTCAGGTTATCTAAGAACCGACCAATGGCTCTAGGCTCAAAAAATGAAATTCTTCGTTACTTTCACAATATCTTTTATGATTTTTTCGCCCACGCACGTGAAAGTTATTCTACTTTGAAACTTACCTGGTTTTATGATGCTTTTACAAAACTATTATGGCAAACGTTAGCGATAACAAGCACCAAATCCAAATACGGCTTTGTATACATATCAAATTCGACTTTAAATTTCTCAAAAGTGGCTCCTAACTGGATTCAATGACCAATATGGTTGAAAAAAGGGAAGTTTAAAGTACCAATATCCACAATAAAACTTAGTGTTACCAACCGCGATTTGAAGACTCCCAGAGCCGTCAGAGCTTCCGGTCATTCGTAAAATGCGCCGTCGTACCGGGTTGTTTTATTTTTCACACAAACCGTTAAGCGATTTTTCCGTGTTCATGAACATCAGAAGTTGTTTTAATTCAAAAAGTTTTGGCTCGATGCAGCGAGGTAAACCTTACAGCGAGGCAAGCGAGGTAAAATAGAGTCATTGCTAATTTTGGCACTCAGTCCCTTCATAAACAGTCTAATCGTGCAACAATTACTGCCATTTATTAGCAGTAAACCAGAAACATGACGTATTGTCTTGTTTCTATAGCTTCTCTTCCGTGTATTGCACAGCAATTCCATTAGTATATATTTGACAATTTCGATTCCCCACTATATCTTCACATGATACTATACATTATTGGGGAAATTTACGCATTAATTAACATTCGCCTTTTTGAATACATCGTGAACAGTTCCTACCATTATTCTGGCCGACGTTTCATATAAGAGTCCCCACATGCCTGGCCTGCCCACACCTCCAGTACGACCTTACCCCAACCTCGCGTTTTGGTGACGTCATTTGAAAACTCTTGTATGAAAATAAATTTCACCCTTTATTAGCTTTCCTTAAACAATTCCAGGTGAAGTTGCATATAAACGTCCTCAAATGACATCACAATAGAGGTGGGGTGAGTGTAGGGTAGGTGTCAGGATAGAGGGGGTCATTTGGAGACTATTCCACATATGACTCTTCTATTAAATTTCAGCCACGCCCTGGTTGAAACACTAATCAAAACCCTTATTCAAACTATAATCCAAATCCAATTCAATTGGCATGCAGGATTGCAATTGGATCTTTTTGAATAATCAGTATCTATAGCAATCTTCTAGATCAAGTCTTTTTTCCAGTTTAAATTCATTTCCAATCGTGCAGAATAGACATACAGATTTTAGGTTAATAAATATCAGCATTGACATGACAATTTGACAATAATTTCCGCGTTTTCCCCAAGTAGCTAATTTTAATACGAAAAGGTAACACGGTTACCTCGCTACATCCATGGGCGTACCGGAAGGAAAAAATTAGGGGGGGGGGGCGGAAAGAAATTTGCCCGACTTTTTGGGATTGTGCCCGAATAGTACCTAAAAAATTCTTTCCAGAAAAATTATTTCGGCGGCAATAAAATTTCAGAGGCTGTCGAGTCTTCAAATCGCGGTTGGTAACAAGTTTTATTATGCATATGGGTACTTCAAACTTCCCTTTGATTAAACATATTAGTCACTGAATCCAGTTAGGTGCCACTTTTGAGAAATTTAAAGTCTAATTTGATATGCGTACAAAGCCGTATTTACACCAGGTGCTTGTTATCGCTAAATTTTGCCATAATTTTTCGGTAAAAGTATCATAAAATAAGGCAAGTTTCAAAGTAGAATAATTTTCTCGTTGGTGGGTGAAAAAATCATAAAATTTGGTTGAATACTTTTAAAATTATCCCCGAGCCGGCGGCGCGAAGGGATGTTCGAGGGTACTAATTCCCCCCGGCTATTTACACCCGGGGAAACGAAAGCATTAGCCAAGTCTAAAGTTCATCAAATATCGCGGGCGTGGGTCACTGTGCGTGGGTGGTCATCCTCACTGATCTCAAAAAGATGGCGGACTGTCATGGATAGTGAACACTGATTGGTCAAATTTAAAATTTGTTGTTGTATGACAAATCACGACTTCAACTGACAGATACTTCATGAAAATAATTTGCTTTTTGCACTGCAGTATTTTGTACGTTTGCAAAAACTTTGACAGCTTTCAAAGCAATTTGCTCTATAAAGAGTTTAATAAAACAATTATGGTATCAAATGCCAATTGAAAAGATATGGACTACTGTATGGAGCCAAATGAAGAGCGGCAAGGAAACGAAAAGAAAGCCGAACGCATCGCTAAGAGGAGGAAGCCAGCGAAGACGACAACGTTTGTTCGAGGAGACTGCTGAGGAAAGAGAAGCTCGCCTGGGAAAGCGTAGAGAAGCATGGGAAAAAAAGACTGCTGAAGCGAAAGGTATTAAAGCAAAGGCTTGTATTCACAACGCTATGTACCAATGATACTGTAGCTATACAAGTTTAAGTATGATATTCGACCCTCTATATTCGACTATTTCTTCACAATTTTCCAATAAAGAGTTTATCATGACACGCTCAAGTCAGTATAACCAGACTGTATTTTATTTATATCAGTTATCAAATACCGTCGGTGGCAACTAAGGGTGAACAATTGCAGATAAAACATTCTCTATTTTCATTAAAAAGCCTGTAAAAGTTTCCAGTAGGTCTCTAGCCCAACAAGTTCAGACAAAGTTTTGTTACTTATTTTTATTGCACACATGGGAAACAACAATTAAGTGTTGTTGTTCTTGACAAACATTGAAGATTCTAATCACGCCAATGTTTTTATGAGGGACTGTTCATCGTTAGTTGCAAACGACGGTACAACATACTATGAACATTTTTCCGACTGTGACCGAATGTGCAACGATATATTTTTCAAAGTTGTTATCAATTCCTAAAATTTGTTTATAGTAAAACGGCCTGCTCAGCACTCACTACTCACGATGATTTCATTTGGAAATGCAGTTACCAGGAAAGGAACTGATTCTAAAATATGTAAATTTAAAAGCATTGGCTAACAGAATAAAGCGATGTGAAGACAAGGTACAAACTTTTATAGTTGCTATTTGTTTATATAAATCCTATAAATAAACCGATTCAACAATAATTTTGCCTCGAATTTGCATATTCTATGCTGCATGTTTATATTTTATTTTTATAGTATAAAAATAAAATTGTAATACTATGAAATAAAATACATTTCTGTTTATTGACCAGTACTTATTTAATGTCTTCTTCATCCAGCGGTCAGAGTAAATTTCTACTTCTAGCAAGTAAATATTTGACAAGCAGTCTGGAATGTAAAGCACAGGACTTTTAATGCATCAGCCACATCCAAGTGTGCCCATCCCCCTCGCCCAGCCATTTTACTGTAAAGCATATCCCGGGGGTTGGGCATTTCCACTCGAACCTTAGCCCCGGCGGGGCATTTGAAATTAATAATTTGGATTCTTGCACTTCACTTGTGGAATTAATATTAGAATGTTAGGGTTTGTAATCCAAGTGAGAATATACATGACATATTTTGTAATCCAAGTGAGAATATTTTGTAATCCAAGTGAGAATATACAAATGTACCGGAATAGTACATGTATATATTTGGTGTATATATTTTGTAATCCAAATGAGAATAGTTTGTAATCCAAGTGAGAATATGCAAATGTATATATTCTCACTTGGATTACAAACCCTAATATTCTAATTTTAATTCCACCAAGTGAAGTGCAAGAATCCAAATTATTGAAGTCCACCTTATCACAACCCGCACACCCGATTACCTAAATATACGTGAACTTACGGTTAAAGCTCGACAGCTGGTCTCTTGTAGCTCAGTTGGTTAGAGCACTGCACCGGAATCGCAGGGCCGTAGGTTCAATTCCTACTAGAGGACCTTGTGCTGCATTTTTCGCATTCGTTCCTTGTTAGGTCTTAAAATGTATATATTCTCACTTGGATTACAAACCCTAACATTCAAATATTAATCCCAACAAGTGAAGTGCAAGAATCCAAATTATTGAAGTCCACCTTATCATAACCCGCACACCCGATTACTTAAATATACATGAACTTACGGTTACAGCTCAACAGCTGACTTCTGTAGCTCAGTTGGTTACAGCGCTGCACCGGAATCGCAGGACAGTAGGTTCAATTCCTACCAGAGGACCTTGTGCTGCATTTTTCGCAGTCGTTCCTGGTTAGGTCTTAAAATGTATATATTCTCACTTGGATTACAAACCCTAACATTCTAATATTAAGTCCACCAAGTGAAGTGCAAGAATCCAAATTATTGAAGTCCACCTTATCATAACCCGCACACCCTATTACTTAAATATACATGAACTTACGGTTAAAGTTCAACAGCTGACCTCTGTAGCTCAGTTGGTTAGAGCGCTGCACCGGAATCGCAGGGCAGTAGGTTCAATTCCTACCAGAGGACCTTGTGCTGCATTTTTCGCAGTCGTTCCTGGTTAGGTCTTAAAATGTATATATTCTCACTTGGATTACAAACCCTAACATTCTAATATTAAGTCCACCAAGTGAAGTGCAAAAATCCAAATTATTGAAGTCCACCTTATCATAACCCACACACCCGATTACTTAAATATACATGAACTTACGGTTAAAGCTCAACAGCTGGCCTCTGTAGCTCAGTTGGTTAGAGCGCTGCACCGGAATCGCAGGGCCGTAGGTTCAATTCCTACCAGAGGACCTTGTGCTGCATTTTTCGCAGTCGTTCCTGGTTAGGTCTTAAAATGTATATATTACGAACCCTAACATTCTAACCCTAACATTCTAACATTTGAAATTAAGAATTTGGAGGTTTTGCGATCACCGACAACTTGATAATTTTATAAAACAAAACACTTCTATCTCCAACTTTTACAATCACTGATAAATTGATAATAATTTAAACCAGTCTAGCTGTAGTTTAAATAGAGAATAATACATGGATGCACGAAATACCAGATTTATTTCGAGTGTTGAACATGAGTGTGCAGCGAACAAGTGAGCGCAGCGAACGAGTGAGATGTCATGTTCAACACAAAAAATAAATCTGGTATTTCCAACCACCCATGTATTTTTCTGTTTATTATATAAAGGACAGTCTTAAATGAAAAGCGATAATGTTTACAGAAAAGCGATAATTGAAAGGCGATAAATTTTTACATGTGAGATTATCATGAATAATTTCACATCTGAGATTATCATTTTTGTCAGTGCTCGAAAACTCTGTAAACCACTATACTTTATATAATAAAAATTCATAAATTTGAACCATGCTAGAGCATGACAACAGCAAAATGCTCTATAGTATGATGCACAATATTTTGGGAGGTGATCGAAATACACGAACAATAAATCAGAGAGTGTTTGCTTGGAACTCACTGGGGGGGGGGGAGGGGGGTGCAACACCCCTGATTATTGCTCATGATGAATTTCAGGTAGATTTCCTGTGCACTTTTAGTACGTACATTTAAGTAGATTTGCAGAAGATTTTCAGGGGAATTCAGGTGATTCTCAGGACATGACTGAGAAAGTGAATTTGGAAAACAACTGTATTTTCGGAAAAATTATTATACATGTATGTCCTGAAATTTTTTTGTACATCTGGAAACTTTTTGGTAACCCCCCCCCCCTCTATCTAACCACACACACACCCTGAGACGAAGTGCTCGCAACGGCACTGAGTATATATCTTTTGAAAACAGGGGAGGGGTTATTGCATGCATGTATTTCTAGTTGTGTTATTATATTTATATAGCTTGTAAATACTGTAATAAACGGCCTCTTGAAAAACAGGTGCCTACGAGTCCTGAAGAGCTACCGTTTTAAAATATTTTTAAATAATAATAATAATAATAATACAGGGGAGGAATGTTGAGCACTTAATTTATGAAGTTTAGTGACGTAAACCGGATGTGACGTTGGATCACACCACGTTGTTGTTCTTTACTTAAGAGTGAACTGTAATATACTTGTTCGTGTTGCTCTATCGGAATATAAACTACAAAACACTACAGTCACCCACGGCCGCGACAATTGACGAACTTTAGACTTCGCTAATGCTTTCTTTTCCTCGGAGGTAAATAGCCGGGCGGAATTATAGTACCCTTGCACGGCGCTTCGCGCCGTTGGCTCAGGGGACTAAAATAATAATTGATTAATTAATAATCTACCTAATGTATTATACTTCTTCATATAAATAATGCTTTGTGATGTATAACCTAGCTAGTTTATCCCGATGATGACTGAAATATAGTCAAAACGTAGATAAATATAAAAATGTTTTCGACCTTTGGAATTATACTTGCTTTGTATTTTATGCGTATGCTACAGATGATTTTCACTTGCTTTTGAGTAGAATTATTATGCCAATACCGTGTTTTAGTATTGAGTACCATATAGGGTTGGGTATACTTAGTCTAGTTATTGAACCTAAAGAGCGTATAGATTATTGCTTTTCCCTGGAACTGACGTAGATGTTTGTCATATCGAGGTCGATCACGCTTATTCAGCCCGCACGCTTATTCAACCCACGTACAGACTTTAAAACCTGAAATGATTGTAAGGAAGAGATGTGTGGAAAACTCATAAACACGATGATAGACCCTAGAAAATTAGTGATGTTGTTAATGAACGAGATCACAAATCGAGATCACAATTAACATTGGTAAATATGTTATTAATGAACGAAATCAACAATTGCAATATGGAATAAAATTTGAAGTAACCCTGATAATCCATTAAACGAGCTATTACCACTGAAGAAGACAAGGTGCGTGTTTGAGAGAGCGCAAGCTCAATTATATTCTACCCAAAGTTAGGACTGAGAGATTTGTACGAATATTTTCGTGCCCGTTTATTCAAGTCCAAGACAAGTCTTTTCGAACATGTAAAAACAAATCTTGTCGAAATCACCAGTACCATTTCAAAACATTTTAGATTCCTACCTTCAAGAGTTGAGTTGTAACAAATATCAACAGTTGCTTGAACTTGTCTAGTCACCAGATATATCCACAGAATGTATGGAAATATCAAATAATGTTTCGGCCAATACATGGTTGTCCGCCAAATTATCAAGTGCGGCTGTTAAGCAGACTTTAGATAAGAGTTTATTCTAAAATGTATAAAATGAATAGTTTTATATGGATTGGGCGAATTGCGTCATTGCAGTATTATCAAAGTATTTTCTATTTTTTGGCAAAGTGAACGATCGGCAAAATTCAGCATTTTGATATTTCCTGAGCAGTAGCTATAACTAGAATTATGGACTGTTCCCCGGTCTCATGCAATGGGCCGCTATACATGATGAACCGCTCACGAAAGAAAAACATGGCCAGAAATTCAGGACAGTCAGCGGAAAGACGCGCGGGCTCATATTCACCAAATTTCCATTTCAAGAAAGAATAGAATGCAGTCGGGCATGTATCCGACATTGTACTCGTATGCAAATTTTATACGCACAATACAACAATAAGCCGTTTAAATACTTACTTGAGGTACACAATCATTTTCTGTTTGCTAAAAAGCATATATTTTGTGGCTTTTTGGAACCTGTTTATCCATCCTCTACGGGTTTGTAAACTGTTGGAGAACAAAGATAAACTCATCTTTTATCAATGCAGACGTGCAGAAGCTCCATGTACTGCCCACGAATGTCCTAAAATGCTGTCCAAAAATGTGCATTTTGCGAATTTTGGGAGAATTAACTATCTGGTATATGTGACGAAATAAGGTAGGAATATAGTTCTCGGGTTTGTCCTACCCAGTTCAAACTGTTCTGAAATTTATTCGGTTAAAGGATCGAGTAATTAAATGATGTTTGCGACGTGCAGAGCTCGGATTTATGTACGAAAAAGCTGGAAATTGCTAAAACGTATATTTGCAATACTTAATCTATATATAAATCAGCCATCTTGAATAATGAATGAGGAAGTACATTGCCAATCGCCATGTTGTCCTGAATTTCTGGCCATGTAATAAATAATGAACGGTCTCTAACATCGAGTTGGATTCGAGTTGGACTTCAAGCTGGACTTCGACTTTTGGATATTTTTCTTTACTTTTCGGAAAAATAACATTGTATATCACCCAATTTTGCAAAAAATAGCGGAAAAGAAATTTTCTAATATTAAGATATTAAGATTAATATGTAACTCACATAATGTCTCTAATAAATCCGTATTTAAGGTCACAGGACATATTTTGGAATTTGCTACTGCACTTCGATCGTTGTTCGTACTTTTTTGCTGAAGACTGAAGAGAGCAAGCGAAGCAGCAAACCTAATTTGTATATGGGGAATTTTATCTCAAACCATTCAGGGTTTATCGCAGTACATTGTCGTCGAGCGCGATCGGAAATGCGCAGTAAACTCATTTTGTCGGTTGTGTTTCCACAACACCTTGTGGTAATTTTGAGTTATGTATCCGCACAATTTTAAAAAGGTAAGAAAACCTTCTAAAAATAATAAATCTTTTTACGAAGATACCTTTTTCATATCATGCACTTTATTGTTCGTGTTGTTAAGATAACTGTATTTTGTAGTTAATTCGTAGTTGACATTTTATGGTTGACATTTCGAAACAGTAAACTTGGGCAACCTATGTCCAGTGAGGGGTTGCTAGACAACGGGTTTTAAGGTCGTTCGAAGAACGTTGTTCGTGAGATTTTATGAGGGAAATATTACTTTTATTATTGTTCTTTTTGTTTATTTTTGTTAAATTAAAGTTTATAAAAAGAGTTTCGAGTCTTGAGAACATATTTTTGGCGATCCTGCCAGGACATTGGAGTTTTATAATGATATAATCGTGATCTTTCGTTCGTAGTATTGGAAAAATATTGACAGGCGGCATTTGCAAGAAGTATTCGTATCGTTGTTGGATTTAATTCGCAAAAGTGTGAGGAATTGTCGATGGTTGGGACGTAAGAGAATCTTGAATTGTTG